TGTGAAACCCCAATTCGGTGTACCTAACTTGGCTTTCGCAATCAGGAGCATATATAGCAAGCTTGAATCCATTGGTAATTAATGCAAACAACCCTATGTTAATATATGCTATTCCAATCCGAAAAGGAAAATAGTAGCTGACCACACATCTGCCAGCAATCACAATTACAAATTCCGATAATTTATCCTCACTAACACATTTAATGCACTTCATCCCAAAGTCCATGAGCAGTTAATAAATATTACAAGAGCTTTCAAATTCAACATCATAGAAACAGCCAAAAAGAGCATTGTGTCTTTACCTAATTTCGCCTTTGTAAGAATGCGGTCTTGAATGAGATTATATTAAACGCATATGCCTTGGAAGAATGAGGTAATTGTCCGAAGTGAAATAATTTTTTGAGCCAAGTATAAATAATGGGGGTTGGGGCTTGTAAGGACAGGATCGAGGTGCCCAACCTCGGACGTACAATAGTAATTCATTTATAATCGAAATGAAGGATAAATCCAACACTTCCTGCTAAAATAGCTGCATGACATCGACAATAAGCATGCCCGCACCTGCTCCCTTATGATAAAGCTGCATAGCAGTTACGATAGACGTTCTCACATATGAATATCTCTCAATTTCCCGGTCTCAAAATAACCGTCGGGATAGACACAATTAGACTCCGATTATCTTGCTTGACATGTCACGTGGGTTCCTCACTGGAGCCTATCCGTCTGGATAGGCACAATTAAACTCCGTTTATCTTGCTTGGCATGCCATGTGGGTTCCTCACTGGAGCCTATAAATACCCCCCAGGGGCCGCGTCAAAAAGGTAATTGAAACCAAACCTAAGCTCCCTTTTTCTCCACTCTAAAGGTAGCCTTGATTATTGCTAACTTAAGCATCGGAGTGTCTACCCCGAGTTCCACCTCGGGGCTTTGCAGGTCAATCTGGAGTGCAGACGCGGATTGAAGAAGGATTTCTGGTTTGGTGCAATTACATTTGGCGCTGTCTGTGGGAAACTGAACTGAAAGCTCCCTTATTGCTCTCATCATGGTTAACACTGGATCAATTCGAGCTGGAAACTCATCTCAGCCTCTTGGACAAGGTCAGGTCCCCAGTAACCTCCCACCTCCGATCCCAAATATATTCCCTCCTGTAGATCATGCAGAAGGAGGAGATGAAAATCAACCACACAATTCAGCTCACAACTCAGCTTCCACCACCAACCAAGACGTAGTTACAGCTCAGCTTGCTGCCATGCAACAACAGTTTGGTGTTTTTCAGCTAGTATTGGATTAGCTCTTAGTTCAGAACAACCCTGGTGATCCCTTCATCAATTTACTTAACCCTGCTCCACAACCCCCAGCTCCATAGCAAAACCCTGAACTAGTTCAGCATGCTCCTACTCTTAGTGAATCTTAGGGTCAATCTCACATAACACCAGCTCAGCAACCCCTTCCTAATGATGTCACTCGACGTCTAGATAGCTTAGAAAAGCTAGTAGCTGAACAGCGAGGTGCCCCACCTCCACATCATGTTGTTGACTCCATACCCCACCCTCTGAACACCAACATCACATTGGAACCCTACCCTGCTGGCTTTAGAATACCTCAGCTTGAGACTTATGATGGGACGAAGGATCCCGATGATCACCCGCATGCTTTCTACTTTTGCATGCAAGCCCAGAACGCCTCTGATGCGTTGATGTGAAAAATCTTTCCCTCTACTTTTCGAGGTAATGCTTGAACCTGGTCTTACAGCCTACCTCCGAGGTCAATCAGCTCTTATACAGAAGGTTTAAGTACCATTTTGGTCCCTCAACTTGTCACTTTGGTACCAAAATTGTCCCTCAGCTTTAAAAAGTACCAAAATTATCCTCAAACTTTCATTTTCGGTACCAAAATCATCCTTCCGTCAGTTAAATGCCAGGTGGCTCGTTAAAATGCCACAAAATCATTAAACTTTTTGAATTTTAATGATGTGTCAATCCAGCTAAGAAA